GCGCGCCTCTTCCAGACGGACAATAGGTCAGGGATGCTGTCCAGGAATTAGTGTCGGGGAGAAGTCGACTGCCTTGTTCGCAGAGGGGCTCGAGCTCTCGTTTGAATAATACGTGTTTATAGGGGTGTGCGTGTGTGTGTGCGTGCGTGCGTGTGTGTTCCTAGGGGCACTTTATGGTTCTCCTGTATGTGTTCAGCTCCTGAAAAGTGCAAAGTAGCGTGCGGCGGCACGCAGGATACAGCCAGAGCCTCCCGTCTCCCCCATAAAAGTGCGCCTAAGTATGCAGATAAACATTTTATAAATTGTATTTTAAATAAATGTGTTTAAACTTTTAACAATGTAGTTTTATTTTGCAACTCCTTCCCCCCCCTCCCAGTTCCTCCCTTCAGCCCCATTCCAGAAGCTTCTGCCAGAGGATTAAGGGATGTTTTGGTGGCCACTGAAGTGCCAAACGCTGAGCGGGTGTGTGGGGCAGAGATGGGGCAGAAGCAGCTGCAAAGCGGAGCCCTTTTCTGCCGGGTGGGTCGAGACTCTGATGTATATGCCGTCTCCCGGCTCCTCTCTCAGTGCCTAGACCAACTGCAGGGAGACTCTGGGCGAGGGCGGAGGTGTTTCTACCCCCCAGTCCTGCTGGCCAAGTGCACGTGATGGCAGAGAGGATAAAAATAATTCTACCTTAGTTCGTGCTCCCATTACAGATTCCCCCAGTTTAGGGATTAATTATGAAAAAATCTTATTTTTTTTAATTTTCATTTTTATTTCTCTCTCTCTTTTTTTTTTTATTTTAAATGTATTTATCTATTTATTTATTGCATGTGTTTTCCTCGTTCCCGCTGATAGGGGGTCTGCCCCCCATGAGGTGTCTGTGTTCCCCCCCTTGGGGTATAGGGGGTCTGCCCCCCATGAGGTGTCTGTGTTCCCCCCCTTGGGGTATAGGGGGTCTGCCCCCCATGAGGTGTCTGTGTTCCCCCCCTTGGGGTATAGGGGGTCTGCCCCCCATGAGGTGTCTGTGTTCCCCCCCTTGGGGTATAGGGGGTCTGCCCCCCATGAGGTGTCTGTGTTCCCCCCCTTGGGGTATAGGGGGTCTGCCCCCCATGAGGTGTCTGTGTTCCCCCCCTTGGGGTATAGGGGGTCTGCCCCCCATGAGGTGTCTGTGTTCCCCCCCTTGGGGTATAGGGGGTCTGCCCCCCATGAGGTGTCTGTGTTCCCCCCCTTGGGGTATAGGGGGTCTGCCCCCCATGAGGTGTCTGTGTTCCCCCCCTTGGGGTATAGGGGGTCTGCCCCCCATGAGGTGTCTGTGTTCCCCCCCTTGGGGTATAGGGGGTCTGCCCCCCATGAGGTGTCTGTGTTCCCCCCCTTGGGGTATAGGGGGTCTGCCCCCCATGAGGTGTCTGTGTTCCCCCCCTTGGGGTATAGGGGGTCTGCCCCCCATGAGGTGTCTGTGTTCCCCCCCTTGGGGTATAGGGGGTCTGCCCCCCATGAGGTGTCTGTGTTCCCCCCCTTGGGGTATAGGGGGTCTGCCCCCCATGAGGTGTCTGTGTTCCCCCCCTTGGGGTATAGGGGGTCTGCCCCCCATGAGGTGTCTGTGTTCCCCCCCTTGGGGTATAGGGGGTCTGCCCCCCATGAGGTGTCTGTGTTCCCCCCCTTGGGGTATAGGGGGTCTGCCCCCCATGAGGTGTCTGTGTTCCCCCCCTTGGGGTATAGGGGGTCTGCCCCCCATGAGGTGTCTGTGTTCCCCCCCTTGGGGTATAGGGGGTCTGCCCCCTATGAGGTGTCTGTGTTCCCCCCCTTGGGGTATAGGGGTCTTCTTCCCCTCCCTTGGAGTATCTGTGCCCCCCTCCTTGGGGTGTATGGGGTTTGCCCTCCCTCCCCCATAGGGTATCTGTACCCCCTTCCTTGGGGTATATAGAGTCTGCTCTCTCCATGGGTTGTCTGTATCCCCCCACCTTGGGGCATATGGGACCTGTCCCCGCCTTGGGATATGTGCAATCTTCCCCCTCCATTGGGTGTCTTTGCGCCCCCCCCCCCCCCCCCCTTGGGGGTATATGGGACCTGCCCCCATAGGGTGTTTGTGCCCCTCCTTGGTGTATATGGGACAGGCCTATTCTCTGCCCTCCCGCTTTACATGAGATCTGTTGTTGCCCCATGGGTTACACAGGACTTGTTTTACCCTCACCCCGTGGGGCGTGTGGGATCTGTCTGCCCATAGGGTGTCTTTGCCCTCCCTGCCAGGGCGTATATGGGACCTGCTTTATCCCCCACCATAGGGTATGGGGGATCTGCTCCCTCCGTGGGGTATGTGGGATTTGTCCCTGTCTGGGCTAGGCTAGGACTCATGTTTCTTTCCCCGCAGCAAGGTACCGGGCCCTGCTGTCATGGACCGAGACAGCTGTCATCTTCCTTGAGGGCCTTGGCAGGGGGTGCAGACAGATGGGAGCTGCCGTCCCAGCCTTCGAGTAGGGGTGCTGGCCAGGTCTCTGCCCCGACTCGCCCATCTTGGTCTCTAAACGCATCATATTTCTTTCAGGGATCTCTTTGCTCAGCCAGCGCTTCCCTGCTTGTTTCTCCAGCGTGACACTGTTGTCGTTACCGTCCTTTTGGGAAGCCCTGACTAAGAGCAGAGTCGCGTTGTCCTAGACACTAAACAGGTGGCAATAGTTGTTACCTGAAATGCTGCTTTATAGTGTTTTAAGTAATGATATTTACCATGGATGTTGCAGCGGAGCCAGCCTGTAGCTAGCGCAGCTGAGCGCCCCCATAAAGCTACTTTTGAACCGGAGATCCTGCAAAAAGAGAAGTGAAACCTTGTTGCATTGTGCAATTCTTGCTGGTTCCCCCTGGGGATTTGGGGCCTGACACGTGCTTTTGCAGAGGGTCGGCTTGTTTCTGGTGAAATGAGAGGCCTTTTAGCTCAGCTAGGGAATGAACTTGGGTTAAGGAGATGCTTTGCTTACGGAAGCGATTAATCTGGATCCAGTTGCAGGTTGGTTTGTAGTTGGAGAGGGCAGCTGAGAAGAGCTGTGTTTGGTCTGTAGGAAATCAACCTTGGAGGGGAGGAGAGGCCTGCAGTTTTCCGCACCCGGAGGAAATACCAGAGCAGTGGCACTTGCAATGAATCCCACCTTGGTTTTCCAAGCACAAATGGGTACAAACAGACTGTGCCGTGTACCACTGCAGCTCCGTTAATCAGGGTAATCAAATATCAACACTGCAACATGTTACAGCCACACAAAATATGGACAGCAAGCGAGGTAGGGGTGTTGTCTAGGGTTTGAGAGACTGCCCGGAGGTCAGTAGCTGTTTCCTCTTTCTCCAGAGCTGCAGAATGGCAGCTGGACCAACCGGCGTGGAGTGGCAGGCTGCGTATAACAGCCAAGGGCAAGATCGCTTTCATTAAGCTGGAGGACAAGACTTCAGGTAAGGAGGGAGGAACGCGCCAGGCCTGTGTGTTGGGCGTAGGGCTTTCCTCCTGCTTTTCTCTGGGAAGGTGTGCTCGAGGTGGGCACGGCCAGGCTGTTGGCAGGACTGTTCCCAAGTAGGCGTGCCCAGCGCATGGAGAGTCCCACTTGTATGACTGTATTCACAAGAGCCTCTAGCTGCAGAGTATTTTGGAAGCCATTCTCTGATTGTTAATGAAGTGGTATATCTCCATAAAATACCATAGCTGTGTCTTTTGCTATGGAAACAATACTCTGTAGCATGAAGTAAATGAAAGGAGGAGATGGTGGGAGGCTAGAGGTTACAGCCCAGAATGAGGAAAGCAAGATCTGGCCTCTTCCTTGCTCTGAGCTCCCTGTGACTTATCAGTAAGTAATTCAGCTGCTTTTTTTCATCTCCTAAATTCTTAATTCTCTCCTGACTAGAAAATCTGCTGCAGAGGAATATGATAGTATTTGGTTATTTTTGGTGCGCAATTTGCCGTGTCCGTGTTGCCTCTCCGTGACGAGAGACGTGGCACTGAGGTGTTAAGCTGTTGCATTAATGTTTCACCCTTCATACCGAATTCTCTTTTCAGGAGAACTCTTTGCCCAGGCTCCTGTGGACCAGTTTCCTGGCATTGCTGTGGAGGGTGTGACAGACTCCAGCAGATATTTTGTCATTCGGATTGAAGATGGAAATGGTACAGCTACTGTTTGCCACACTCTAAAGAGATGGGCTTGGGGGAATCATATCTTTGGAAGTTCTCAGTACCCTTGCTCTGAGTTCTTCTCATCTGCGAAGAGTTTTTTTTCAAGGGCTAAATATACTTTTCATGAAGTGGGTAATGGGGCAAATTACCTCTCACTCCCCTGTGCCAACTGCACTCTGTCCTTCGCCAGCCATAAAAACAGTTTACTCTTGTTGGTGAAGAAATACTGGCCTTGAGCTTACAAGTCTATAGTGCAGTCCTGCTGTCTTCAGAGAGTCCCCGATCAGATCCCGTTGGAAAAGGTGGCAGCCGGTGGGGTGTGTGAAATGGGGCGCCCCCTCCCTCCCGCCCCACATCTGTGGCTC